TCTGGGGTCCCTTCCAACCCTTATATTCTATGATTCTATGATTCTATGATCAGCTGTGGGGCTCTTATTTTTTAAAATAAGGCTACTACCATAATAATATTACTGATAGATGGGAAGTATGATTATCCAAAGTCTTCTCACCAGTATTACAGATGCTTCAAGATTTAATGCTATCCTTGTAATTTATTAAACTAACCTCAAGCAAGTAAGTAAGGGTGGACATATCACTGTGTTAATGATAAGCGTGAGAAATAAAGGATTTGGATGTTTTAAGATTTTAAATCTTTCTCTCGTTCTCTCACACATGCACATACACACAGAGTTATAGATTAATAACACTGAAGATTTAACTGTTCATACGTCACCTGTAGCATTATATTCTAGTTTTGTCCTGGGACTACTTCTAGGGATTTTGGTGCCATAAACTGTTATAACTACTTGGACCCTCTGGGGCTGACAGTAAAAGTGCTAATAGCAATTATGGTATTGGTAATTTTCTAGGAAAACTGTCCACTATGAGCTAGAGTGCAAAGGCATGTTCACATCCACTAGTGAAAACTTTTTGAAGTTTTTTTGTTGAAGAATTGCAACTTTTCGGTCTGTCCAGTTTGACCAATGTACAAGGCAGAGGGGCATTGCTGGCACATGATGGGATATATCACATTGGTAGATGTGCAGGTCAAACTGGACAGTCTCTAGGTAAAAGAATAAATGGACACAAATCAGATGTCAGGAATTATAACATTCAAAAACCAGTCGGAGAACACTTCAATCTCTTTGGTCACTCGATTACAGACCTAAAAGTTGCAATTCTTCAACAAAAAAACTTCAAAAAGAGACTCCAATGAGAGACTGCTGAATTGGAATTAATTTGAAAACTGGATACAATTAACTTAGGCTTGAATGAAGACTGGGAGTGGATGGGTCATTACACAAAGTAAAACTATTTCCCCATGTTTATTCCCCCCACCCCCCACTGTTCCTCAGAAGTTCTTGTCAACTGCTGGAAATGGCCCACCTTGATTATCACTACAAAAGGTTCCCCCCACCCCGCTCTCCTGCTGGTAATAGCTCACCTTAAGTGATCACTCTCGTTACAGTGTGTATGGTAACACCCATTGTTTCATGTTCTCTATGTATATAAATCTCCACACTGTATTTTCCACTGAATGCATCCGATGAAGTGAGCTGTAGCTCACGAAAGCTTATGCTCAAATACATTTGTTAGTCTCTAAGGTGCCATAAGTACTCCTTTTCTTTTTACAACTATCATGGAATCTCGTTGGAACATGGAGCTAGCCACCATGCATCCTGTTTTTATAATGTATGACTTTTAAAAAAGTTTAACCATGCAGTATGCTTTTAGAAAGTCATTACCCAGCCGTGGTGGTTTCACTGTAGCACTGATATCACAGTAATCACAGTGCCGTTCATATTGTACATTTAATTCTGTAGCAAAATATTGTCATTCTTATTATGTTCTCCTGGGAGTAGATTGTCAGTAGAGAAGAGAGAAATGCACTTGTACGATGTGTGCACAATCTTCTCAATGAGTCAGAACCTCTGGAAAGCAGTAACCACTGGTGAAGAGCTAATTATTCCATGTGAAATTATATAAGGAGCCCTAGCCCTGACTCTACCTCATTTCCTTTCCTGTGACAGTAAGTTCAGAAATCTCAATTCCTTTCTCCTTATTTCTCTGTACTATATATTTTATTTACTATTTCTTATATTAAGGATTATTTGCTGCTGTTAATAACAATTTGTTTAGTATTAAATATTTCTAGTTAGAATTAGGCTCTACATAGTCGTCTAATTTGAACATTTTGATTTGCTTTCTAGGTTCAGATTGATCATTTCCTGTTACCTTTCCTGTAACTTGACGTCAGTTCCCCAGTAGACGATTTGTGTGCTTGGAGTTTAAATGCTTCATGTGATTGTGATGAATTATTTTCTGACCATCTTTTCCACTGCCTTTGCTGTTTAGAAAAAGACATATATCAATGGCCCATTTGGGCCTGCAAGGAGCAGGAAAGTCACTTCCTTTTTTTTCAGGATAGAGAGGGCGAATCACTCACAGCCCAATCAGACTGCTTCCACTTTAGAGTAGTCTTGGCAGAGTGCTTTAAAAGCACAAAAGGAGTAAAGGAAGCAGTTTGGATCTGATGTGATTTCTGAAGGTTCCCTCAAAGAAGCCAAGGAGATAATAGTTGCAGACTATTGAAGGAACCAGGGGCTGTGGCACATAATAAGAGAAAAGTGCTGTGAATCTGAGCATTCTTCCTGTTGCATTAAGATACAAAGAAGCACAGTAGGAACAGATCCAAGGTTGCATCATTTGCAGAGAAAGTCTCAAAATTTTTAGAAACAGTTGCAGGTGATAGCTTATTGTCAAGTATCTCAGTTCCTCATGAGATGCTGAACATAAAATTTTGTCTGTATTGACTACCTTGTCAGATCTGGGTACTGAGTCAGTTTCATGAAGGGGTTTGATACAGCCTTGATTTACAATGCATATTTATGAGGGATTATCAGAAGATAGACCCTCATAATCTTCTACTTCCTCTATGCAGCTCTGTAGGGTTTCTCACCCTTCATATCTTGGGTCCTTACAGTTGATCTCATTTCTTCCAGGAATAGAATTTAAGGTTAGATCCAGGGCTTTCAGATCTAGGGAACTCCTCCCTTGAATTATTCCCTGAAGATGTCTGTAGAGACACGCTCTTTATTAATGACAGGTTTCAGAGGAACAGCCGTGTTAGTCTGTATTCGCAAAAAGAAAAGGAGTACTTGTGGCACCTTAGAGACTAACCAATTTATTTGAGCATGAGCTTTCGTGAGCTACAGCTCACTTCATCAGATGCATACCGTGGAAACTGCAGCAGACTTTATATATACACAGAGAATATGAAACAATACCTCCTCCCACCCCACTGTCCTGCTGGTAATAGCTTATCTAAAGTGATCAACAGGTGGGCCATTTCCAGCACAAATGAAAAGGATTTGTGCTGGAAATGGCCCACCTGTTGATCACTTTAGATAAGCTATTACCAGCAGGACAGTGGGGTGGGAGGAGGTATTGTTTCATATTCTCTGTGTATATATAAAGTCTGCTGCAGTTTCCACGGTATGCATCTGATGAAGTGAGCTGTAGCTCACGAAAGCTCATGCTCAAATAAATTGGTTAGTCTCTAAGGTGCCACAAGTACTCCTTTTCTTTTTGCTCTTTATTAAGATAGCGACATCTTTTTGGATGTCTAAATCAAAGGGACAGGTTGCAGGGCTCTCCCTGTTCGTAGGAAACCTGTGTTTCTTGGCTCTATTAGTGAATGTGGGCTCTGAAAACACAAGATTATTCTGATAAACAGCATAAGGACTAAGTTCAATAATTTTCCATTTGAGGAGACTATTTTCTTCACCTCAGAGTTAGGGCTGGCTCATTCTTTGGATAGAGGGAAACTGACCCAATACAGACAGATTCCAGAGGAATACTGCTTCTTGTTAGAGAGCTCCTGAATACCACAAATCTGATCAGAAGCAGTTTTTCTTAAAGCAGAAAGAGAAGCAGCAGAAACAGAAAACAGCTTCATTGGCAACTTGAGATCCTTTTATTATTGTCTTGAGACAGCTAGTTTGGTGTGGCACCTAATAACTTCAGCCAATTGTGGCATTTTTCCCCCTTGCTATTCTCCTTTTTGGAAAATTGGTCAGGTGTCATAGAGTGGAATTACCTTGGACAGGTGGCTACTAGAGATAATTCAAATAGGCTGTTCCATCAAATTCCACTCTGTGTCTTCTCCAAACCCTTCATCACCATCCTGCTTCAGGGATCCTTCTCATGAGAAAGTGCTGAGAGACAATGTGACCTTTCTTTTCCAACTGAGAGCAATAGAAGAGGCAGTCCTCTGGCACTAAGAGAGGAAGGGGTTCATTTCTCACTATTTCCTGAAGCTAAGAGGAAGTTCCATGCTAGAGTCAATAAAATTGAACAAGTAGATTAAAAAGAATCAAATTCTGTAAGGTGACACTACCATTATTTTATTGGGGTTGCCGGTAGCATATGTATGTATGTAATCTTAAATTACATGATCATGTACTGTTTTTTTCCGTAAGACACCAGTTTCATTCATTATAGAAGATGAATACATAGTTCATCCATTGGAAGAGCACTGGAGAGAACTAAATAAGTCTCCTAAATTGTTTGAAAATAAATTTGGGGGTAAAACATTTTGTTTAGAGTTTGTCTAAACTGTTTTCCTACAAATTGTTATAATCTTGCAGCTGTCAACCTAAAGATTTTAGAGCACATTCCTCCAGATCCAAAGCAGCCTCCTCAGTATGTATGAGGAATGCCTTTATGTAAGGCTCCTACCTGGAGTTCAAGTCATGTCTTTATGCAGAATTACTTTTTTGACTCAGCAGCTAGATCAGATGCCCAGAGAGAGCAGTTTTGCAAGCTTTAATTGATCATTTCTAGGCCCACCTTCATCAAAGTTGTTACTGCTAGTTTCTCTCCCACAAATATTTCTGTAACATACATTACCTTAAGAAGAAAGGTTGCTTACTAATAACTATAGTTCTTTGAATAGATTGTCATTATAGATGTATGTTTCCTACTACTATGTGCCTCTCTGTTTGGGAGTCTTCATTACATTCTGAGTAAATGGAAAGGGATGGAAGTAGGGTTAGAGTGCTTTACACAGAATGTTTAGTTCTGTGGTAGAACTTGAATGTGACCCCAACAGTTACTGTTTTCTAGTGGGTTCGGACTTGTGGCCACTGGTGCATGCATACCTCAGAAGTGGGGAAGTATGCTGATAATCTATTTGAAGAACTGTATTATTAAGGAAACTTTGGACATATGCTCAGATACTAAACTAATGAACAGCCTGAAAATAGATTAATAAAATAAAATTCTAAACTCGAAAGGCAATCAATATATATACTGGACCTATCACTGTAGTAACTAGAATCTTGCATATTTTTGAAAGAAACTAATGGAATCTCAATTTCTTTTTCTCCAACTTCAAGGTGAAAGGAAGCTTAAAAAGAATTTCTTTCCTTAAAAAGAAAAGGAGTACTTGTGGCACCTTAGAGACTAATAAATGTATTTGAGCATAAGCTTTTGTGAGCTACAACTCACTTCGTCCGATGCATGCAGTGGAAAAAACAGTGGGGAGATTTATATACACAGAGAACATGAAACAATGGGTGTTACCATACACACTGTAACAAGAGTGATCAGGTAAGGTGAGCTATTGCCAGCAGGAGAGCCGGGGGGGGGAGGGAGGGGAGGGGGGGAGAGGGGGAGGGGAAGACGACCTTTTGTAGTGATAATCAAGGTGGGCCATTTCCAGCAGTTGACAAGAATGTGTGAGGAACATTATTTCAGTTCATCTGAACATCTGTGTTGCTTCAATATAGGTTTTTTATTTAAGTAGTAGTATATTCCTGATATAATACCTCTGTTCTTGAAATTTTCTAATATTACAGAATCCTTCACTAAGGTCCATTCTAATACATGCTCTTTACATCTTTGGACTTTTTAAAATAGAGCGTTCAATAATGTGAATTTTGAAAGTGTGGCAAGTATATTCTACTCAGAATGTAGTGTAGATTCTATCTTAGCTATTTTCAAGTGTTAATATATATATGCATGTCTCAGTCTAGTTTAATGAGGGTATATCATTTGTGTAGCTGTTAAAATGAATAACCAATAAAAGAAAACATTGCACTAATAAACAAGAGATGGCTGGAGTTGGCTCCACAAACTGAAACAATTTACTTCATTCATCTTCAGTGTTTCTTAGCAACACAAAGTACTCTTACCCTGGGCGCTTTCACGGACTTTCACATCTTTCTTCAAATATAGCTTTGGTAGTATTTTATATGACCTGAAGTTCGTCCATCTGTCCTGAAGCTCCCAATGCTTTTCCAGTGCTTCCAATGATCAAATGATCTTACATACATTTTTTCAACTTAATAACACACAAGTTGACTAGAGAATCATTCAACATGTCAGGTTTTCCAAAGGGTTCTGGGAAATTATTTGCTGTTCTGTATAGCAAAGCTAAACGTTATTGAAAATGTGTTATAGTTTCATAATAAAACAAGTAGGAAAAATGTTGGCTTGGAAACTAAATATTTTCTGATAGCCCTAGCCTCAAGGCTTGGATTGCTTGTAATAAAAGGGTAGCTTTGATATCTTTTGGTGAATTGACGAGTATTCTGTTTACATCATAATTTATGAAAATACTGGCTTGATACAGAATGTTACATTATCAGATTGTTCATGTGCAAGAATTGCATTAATGTGTGGCTAACATTTTCATTGTTTATTTCATGAGAAGTTAGTAAACCATTGCTTCTCTGAATATGCTTTCTAACAACTCAGAGGTTGCTGTTGATACTTTAGGATCCTTCCTTCATTTCTTGCTTTTCATTTTATAATGTGCAAGAAACCGATTCTGGTGTTTTAGATCACTGAGTAACATCTGCTGAGGAAATTCAGCTTGTTTAAGGAACCCCTTCAGATACAAAGCAGAAAGTAAAGGAGGACTTGTGGCATCTTAGAGACTAACAAATTTATTTGAGCATAAGCTTTTGTGAGCTACATCTCACTTTATCGGATGCATTCAGTGGAAAATACAGTGGGGAGATTTATATACACAGAGAACATGAAACAATGGGTGTTACCATACACGCTGTAATGAAAGTGATCACTTAAGGTGAGCTATTACCAGCAGGAGAGCGGTGGGGGGAGGGGAGGAAACCTTTTGTAGTGATGATCAAGGTGGGCCATTTCCAGCAGTTGACAAGAACGTCTGAGGAACAGTGGGGGGGAGGGGAATAAACATGGGGAAATAGTTTTATTTTGTGTAATGACCCATCCACTCCCAGTCTTTATTCAAGCCTAAATTAATTGTATCCCATTTTCAAATTAATTCCAATTCAGGAGTCTCTCGTTGGAGTCTGTTTTTGAAGTTTTTTTGTTGAAGAATTGCAACTTTTAGGTCTGTAATCGAGTGACCAAAGAGACTGAGGTTTTCTCCGACTGGTTTCATCACCAGCTTTCATCCAGACCACACCACACAATCCATTGTCTACAGCCAAGCTCTACGATACAACTGCATTTTCTCCATCCCCTCAGACAGAGACAAACACCTACAAGATCTCTATCAAGTGTTCTTACAACTACAGTACCCACCTGCTGAAGTGAAGAAACAGATTGACAGAGCCAGAAGAGTACCCAGAAATTGCCTACTACAGGACAGGCCCAACAAAGAAAATAACAGAACGCCACTAGCCATCACCTTCAGCCCCCAACTAAAACCTCTCCAACGCATCATCAAGGATCTACAACCTATCCTGAAGGACGACCCATCACTCTCACAGATCTTGGGAGACAGGCCAGTCCTTGCTTACAGACAGCCCCCCAACCTGAAGCAAATACTCACCAGCAACCACATACCAGAACCACTAACCCAGGAACCTATCCTTGCAACAAAGCCCGTTGCCAACTGTGTCCACATATCTGTTCAGGGGACATCATCATAGTGCCTAATCACATCAGCCACATGATCAGATGCTTGTTCACCTGCACATCTACCAATGTGATATATACCATCATGTGCCAGCAATGCCCCTCTGCCATGTACATTGGCCAAACTGGACCAGTCTCTACGTAAAAGAATAAATGGATACAAATCAGACGTCAATAATTATAACACTCAAAAACCAGTCGGAAAACACTTCAATCTCTTTGGTCACTCAATTACAGACCTAAAAGTGGCAATTCTTCAACAAAAAACCTTCAAAATCAGACTCCAATGAGAGACTGCTGAATTGGAATTAATTTGAAAACTGGATACAATTAATTTAGGCTTGAATAAAGACTGGGAGTGGATGTGTCATTACACAAAGTAAAACTATTTCCCCATGTTTATTCCCCTCCCCCCCCACTGTTCCTCAGACATTCTTGTCAACTGCTGGAAATGGCCCACCTTGATTATCACTAGAAATGGTTCCCCCCCCCCACCCCGCTCTCCTGCTGGTAATAGCTCACCTTAAGTGATCACTCTTGTTACAGTGTGTATGGTAACACCCATTGTTTCATGTTCTCTGTATATATAAATCTCCCCACTGTATTTTCCACTGAATGCATCCGATGAAGTGAGCTGTAGCTCATGAAAGCTTATACTCAAATAAATTTGTTAGTCTCTAAGGTGCCACACGTCCTCCTTTTCTTTTTGCGGATACAGACTAACACGGCTGCTACTAGCAGAAAGATAGCAGAAAGTGTTATATGAATATTGGGAGCAAATTTTGATTTCATTCTACAAGACTATATATAACTTTGTTACAGGAAATAATGTGCTCTGAATTTTCAGTAAATTGCACAGAAAACTTCTGAGATTGTGTAATATGCTTTAATGACTAAGTTTCTATAACTCTTGCTCTAAGAGAGAGACTTTTTTAGAGGTCTTAGGAAAAAAGTTTCTTATAGTGTGTAGTAATAAGTGGTCTCAAAATGTTGTGATGAGTTAATTTCTTATTTTTTACATAAGCAGAATAATCACTAAGGTATATGGAAATTATTGTGAATAATACCCCAAAAGTGCAGAAAGCTTAGCTTTGTTCGTCTCCACAATTAAAAAAATGCTGTACTGCAGCAAACAATGTGGTCTTGGCTATGATGCTAACTTTTTTGTTAGTGAATATATACACAATATTGTGGTGTTGGTGTGCATGTGGTGTGCAAGAATAGTGGTATCAAATCCGTAATATACTACTACTTAAATACAAAAAACTATATTAAAGCAACATAGACATTCAGATGAACTGTATCTAAAAGAAAAGGAGTACTTGTGGCACCTTAGAGACTAACAAATTTATTTGAGCATAAGCTTTTGTGAGCTACAGCTCACTTCATCGGATGAAGTACTCCTTTTCTTTTTGTGAATACAGACTAACACGGCTGCTACTCTGAAACCTGTGTCTAAAAGATAAATATGAGAGAGAAAAGACTTGATGGGATAGTATGGTATGAAGGTTTTATCACCATGTGTTTGAGATTGTCTCATTATTCATGGATTGTGAAGACAAAGAAATATACAAGTTTTTCTAGTGACTGTGAATCAAATCCATATATCTCACCATGCTATCATGCATTAGGTGTATGAGACATATGTCAAAACTTCTCACAGTGCTCCTTGTACAGACATCAGTCTTTTGTGAGTGAACCCCATCACTAGATCACCTGGCCTAGTTTAGTCACTGTTTCTAGCTCTGAGACCCTAGGGCACACGCTCAGCCCGCTTGTCTGATACCCTTCCTTGGGATGTTGGGTGCTCTGTCCAGCTATGTTTGACCTTGAAATCAGTGTCTATGATCTCCTGAACTCCCCCCTCCCTCAGTCACATACAAGTGCTCCGCCAGATCTGTACATAGGCTTTGGGCAGTGTGGGCTTCTAATTGAACCCCTTCAGAGACAACTTGGCAGAAACACAGGCTTAGGAAAGGATTTTCTTAATCACAGTGACTTTACTCTTAAAGTACTTGAGAGTTAACAGGTCTTTGAAAATGATGGAAGTCCTGAGACATATCCTCTCCTCTCCTACTCTGATCTCCCCCTTCCTGCACTCTCCTTTTTCTGCTTGACCTGCTTACATGTGGTGACGGTGGCCTCCCCCAGGACCCTGCTCTATTGTTGTGCCACAGGCTCCACCTGAGAAGCTACAGACACACCAGTCTTGTTTGCCTCTTTCCTCCTGTGGGGCAATTTGTAGAAAACCCAGTATTACAAAAGGATAGACCAGTAATTGAGGGACAATCACAATTGTTGGACAAAGATTGTGGTCTTGATGGCTTTTAATGTTAGTCCTTCAACAGGGTGTCAAACACCTTTTACAGACAAAGCAGTAATCTGGGATGCAGCACAGTAGGTTGTCTTTGGGCAGACTTGTGCAGTCAGTGTCCAATATCTTCTCACATAGAATAGATAGAGTTCCTAATTTGATTCAGACATATCCTGCTCTGTCATAACACATTTTACAGAAAATCTATTTTCAAAAGGTTTTAGAGAGTTTTTAAAAACTGTTTTTTTGTAACCTTCTAACTATAAAGCCAAAGTCCAATTTCAGAGACCTCGGAGGGAAAGATATAATGAATAAATTTCATGTATCTCTAAAAATGGCCTCTAAATAACTTTTCTATCGATAAAAGTGTTATGAATTTAAAGCCTTC